ATTATGAGTTTGATTATTTGGTAACTCCTCATTATCACAAACTAATATTTTCAAAAGAGACAAATCCTAAAAATCAAACTAATATTTTTGGTGAAAAAACCAATATTTTAGGATTGGTGAACAAACTAATATTTTAGGATTTGTCTCTTTTTGGTGAACAAACTAATATTTTAGGATTGATTATATGAATAAAGCTACCTGTTTTTGGTGTTCTTTTCATTCATTTTCATTCAAACAATCCGATGACTTGTATAATGAAATCCGAATCTTAAGCCAAAATATTTAAAAAAAAGAGTTTTTAAAAATTGAAAAGTCAAGGCAATCAGTTCAGATTAATTAAAGGTCAAAGAATATCCGCTCATTGAAATAAAGACGTGTGCTATCATTAACCAAATATCCGGTTATTGATATAGAGTGGTTACCAAAAAGTAGAAGGCGATAAGGACGCTTCATGGAAATATCAATGGGATAAAGTCATAACAGATCGCTATACATTTTAACGATTAAAGCTCAAATATGAATGATTTATGATAATTATGTCGTAATTAATGAATTAATTAGATGTGTGAAAATGACAAAATTAATGAGAAGTGTGAAAAGGACATAATTAATGACAAGTGTGAAAAGGACATAATTAATGAGAAGTGTGAAAAAGACATAATTAATGAGAAATGTGAAAAAGACAAAAACTTACCAATTTTGAAAAATATTAATGCAAATTCGACATTGACCATAATTTGACCTACTATTTTGGATAAATGTTAATTCTTATTATATAAGTATAGATTATCGTTCTCCCCTCAACATATCTATCCTTTTCAATCACCTTAGGTGGCTCATCTCATATGGTGATCTGTTGGTTGAGTGAGGGTTTTAAGTTTTAACTTGACTCTAAATTGCAGCGGCAAAAGTTGGTAGTTAAAAACTCGATTCTTTTACGGGAAAAAAAAAAGAAGACAAGTGGTGGACAAAAAAAGAAAAAGAAAAAAGGGGGTGGACAAGAATCAAAAGCCCGTATTTGCTGAATACGGCTTTTGATTTTTTTATTTGTAAAACGTATTCCGTGAATACGGTTTCCTTTGTAAAAAAAATGTATAAAACGTATTCCTTAAATACGTTTTTTAATTAAATTACACAGAAAACGTATTTACAAAATACGTGCTTTCTATGTTGGTCCACTCCCCCCTTTTTTTTTTGTTTTTTGTCCACTTATTATTTTTTTATTTTTAAATATATAAACTGCCCTAAAAACTCGCAAGAGGCTGCGAAAATCCAGAATCCCAATCACATGTCAAACTCCCCAGCCGAAGAAGAACAAGGATTTGCCTGCCACCCTTCCGCCCCTCCTCACGAGGTATTTCCCGCCTAATTCCTATACACTCGCTTGCGCATTCCAAATGTTCGATACATTGACGCTCTTACCAAAATGATTTTTATTTATTTTTATTAATGCCGCAGTCGTTCGATGTATCAACCACAGTTGATCCCAGTTACGTTATATCTTTGATAAGGAAACTTGTTCCCAAAACTGGGACACCTGCAAGCGAAAGAGAAGCTGAGGCTGAAAACTATGGTGATCAAACTAAATGTGTATCGGCTCTAGAAAGGACATGGGAAGAGTGTGGATGTGTTCTATGGGATCTTGCTGCTACTGGAGATCATGCCCAATTTATGGTACTTCCCATTTCATTACCTTTTTCTACGTAATCCTTTATGTATCACTATGTTTATTGCTTTGGTCTACTGGTCTAACATATCAAATAAAACCTGCTTTAACTTATTAATAGTTTTATTGATATGTAGGTTCAAAATCTTATCCTCGATGTTCTTCTGGCTAATCTTGTGGTTCCTCAATCATCACGCATTACGGTAAGTCACATTTAATTTTGTGCAGACACGCTTTATATGGCTCAGTGCTTATGGAAATGCATGACATCCCTAATTTAAAGACTGTCTTTTGTATGACAGGAAATTAGTCTTGGAATAATAGGAAATCTTGCCTGCCATGAAATATCGTGTAAACAAATAGCTTTGACAAATGGATTGGTTCAAGTGATTGTGGAGCAGTTGCTTCTAGATGATGTACCTTGTCTCTGTGAAGCGTGCAGGTAGCTGTATGTGATTAGATACATAAAGAATATGTGCCATGCTTGTTATATGAGAACAGGTTGGCTAGCACATTTTATTTTAGGACAGGTTTGAAGGTATGGAGGGGTTCCAGTTAAGAGATAGTGTTGCTGGAATTAACAAACATACATATTTTTTTTTTTTTTCTTCAATTGAATTATATGGGTTGACAATTAATAATCTATTACATCTTTGCTTATGGTAGTCATAAGTAGGTCTGGAAACAAACCGAGGTATTCTCTTGATTTGTTTTAGACGTGATTCATCTCGAGCTTATATAGTTACCTAACCGAACTCAAGCTTAAAAATAGAACTCATTTGTCTAACGGAGTTGACCCTGAGCTCTTACTTGAGTCTGGGATCCGGCTCATGAGCTGACTTGTTTCAACGATTGTGCACAAGTACATTTTATTGACTCGTGAAAAGAATCGTCTCGAGACTTACAAATAGGTTCATCGGGAAGTTATATTTATAAATCTATAGTTTTATTCAGTTTAATGACCTCGGGCTTGGTTCTTAGTCTTGTTTAGTTTTCATAAGCTCGAGTCTAGACCAGGTTCACTCAAGCTTGTTAAGTTATAAGAAACCCCAAGCAGAGCCGGAGCTTACAATTTTTTCATAAGCTCGAGTCTAGACCAGGTTCACTCAAGCTTGGTTCTTAGTCTTGTTTAGTTTTCATAAGCCCAGACTTTTTAAGATTGTAAAAGCTCGTCTTGGCTGGAACTCATTCGCTTTTCAGCCAAGCCAACCCCAGGCATTCAAAAGTCCGGCTCATTTGCAGATTAGGCGTCAGGTATCCTATTTTGGTATATGCCAGCCAATGTTATCAATGGAGAAATGCAGAAAATGGCTGCAGGCTGAAATCCCACCATAGCAGCCCATGGAACCACTGTAACCGCTATCCATCCCAAGTTTCTAAAGGCGGTTAGGTAGAATCCTGCCACGCCATACCACAATGGTGGAAAGTTTATTAGCCCTTATGCAATCCAACTAGGGGTGTCCATGAGCATTCAATGAAACCTCGTATTCGTGAGCATGCTCTTTAATGTCCATCTACTATTTCCATATTTATTGTTCATTAGTTAAATAATTCACTTTCTATTATTCATCAATTATTGCTGAAAATTAAGCTTGCTTTTATTTTTCATGCATTCAGCATAGAATTTATTTTAAGTTGATTGTCATGAATGAATATCTTATGAACATATTTAGATATTTGTTTAATGAACAACTAATGAGTGTCCCATCCCATGATACGTTGTTGGATGTTTGTAAACATGTTCAATTGTTAAATAAGTGAACATGAAAAACGACTTAAAATAAATGAACATGAACATACTCTTTGACAGTTCCTATTAGACTGTAATCCTGTTCATTTGCATTCATCTGCAATGGCATACCTACTTGTTCGCATTACACATAACGTAAATTTTTTCTGTCACATGATATTAATGATTGATTAAAATCCCAAAGGCAACCCTACGTGCACTAAACTTGCTGCCGGTCATTTTTTCAATGTAGGGTGTTAACATTGTGTCTTCAAGGCAGCGAAGGTGCTATTTGGGCAGAAGTGTTGCTGGCTGAGCAGACCCTTTCTCGTATTTTCTGGATTGCTGAAAATGCTCTGAATTCACAGCTGCTTGAAAAAGTAAGAACTGTAGCCTTGTGTTCTTTCTCTTTAGCAGCAGGACTTGTAATACTTGCCATAATCACACACCATTTAATCTGTCTGCATAAAACATGAACTCCATAGATTTACTTTTAACTTACATATGAGTATAAGTTTAGTCTGAACAATTTGATACTAATGGAGTCCACGTGTGAGAATGAATTTGGAAGAAACTCGCAAGTGAGCAGTTTAGTGTAGATACTATGGTAATATATGACACGTGTGGCCATGATGTGTTTTTGTATCTTACAAACCTTCATTGGCAGTTCTACAAAAAGCTGTATGAATAAATGCCTGAGCTATTTCTTATTCTATTTTAAGATTGTAGGTTTACTCTTGGCTGTTTTAGAAAGTCAACAGAAAGTGGCAGCTATTCTTATTCCATCTATGTTGGGATTGGGCCTTTCTAGTCTTCTGATCAAACTTTTGGCTTTTGAAATGACCAAGCTAAAAGAGGAGCGGGTGCCAGATAGGTATAGCTTCTTTGTTGGAACCATTGCGGCTTATGTTCCGTATTTTTTCTCCCCACTGTAAAAGCAGTATAATACATTTTAGAATTTGTTGCTCTATTAGTTGGAGCAGGCCATGATTTTTTATTATACTTTTTTGGGTTATGCATTATGTGGTCATTCTGTGGTAAATACTTACCTTTTTATATTCAAATCATAACGGACTCCACATTGTCAGTTCCAGCATGATGCTCAATAAGCCTAATACTTTGACCCCGATCTGAATTGCAAGCCATGCAATGACACTTTTGTATGCCACTCTTGAATTTCCAAAACCTCATGTAGTGTGGTTTGCGCAGCTGTGTATGACACATATGTTTTGTCCCATAATTGTTTTTGTATTCTTTTCGATGCTTTATGTGATGTTTCTGTTCTTTGTTCGGCGCGTATAATGAATAAATTAAGAACATTTGTTTAAGTATAATAAACGGGAGTGAAATTCATTCATTTTGTTAAGCAAACGAGCTCTTCTAGATATAGGCCTGTCATGACCTCTTGAACTGCTTTATCTGTACACTTTTTTATCCATCGAGGGAAATTCAAGCAATAAACTAGGGCTAAAGTAAGCATGAGTCAGTGTTCTTATTTCTTATGGAAGCCACCTGGCAGGCTGGATCATAAAAGATCAACAAGTGCCATTGGCTTGAAATGTTCCTAAACATACATACACTGTGTATATGTTATTTGGTTTTCTGGGGCATATAGGTACTTTTGTGCCTTTATTATTCTAGTATTTAGCTATTTTCCCTTCCATTGAATATTATCTTGGGTGATGTTTTGACTTTTGAATCATACTGCATCAGGTATGCTGTACTGGATTTGATCCTTCGTGCAATTGAAGCTTTGTCCACTATGGATGAGTATTCCCAAGAAATTTGTCTGAATAAAGAGCTTTTGCAACTAATAAGAGATCTAATTGAACTTCCTGATAAATTTGAGGTATGCTGTGTTTGCCAACAGCTTACATGTACTGATAACACATGCCTCCTTCACCTGTGCTTAAGTACATGTGTACCTGGTAGACTTTAATTCCCATAAATTTTATGTATGTTCACATATTATGGCCAACATGTGACTTCCCACTTAATAACATAGTAAAGAAATATGTCGTGCAGATCACATATTCATGTCAATAATATGCAGTTTACATATGCCTTGTGATAATATGGTACAATGCCCTAATGAGCACAAGTTATAAATTCATATCCGTGGATTCTAATTCAGACTAAAAGGGGTACAACTATCTGCACTGTTCTGCACTCAAAACAAAAAATGGATCTAAGTATGAAGGTGCAAATCACACAGAAAAACAAGTATAGAATTGTGTATGTTGTTGTTAAGGTTACCATTTAAGAGTTCATTTTTGTAATAAATGAAGTGGTCTAGGGTAAATTTTTATTTGTTGCGAAATATCTTTCGGAGGAGATACTTTCGCCCTTTCCACTTCAGTTTTCAATGGGAGAGCCCTTAAAGACCTTTCTTTATTTCTGGTTTGCAAGATTTAGTGACCTCAAACTGATACGTATGCGCAGGTAGCCAGCTCTTGTGTAACAGCAGCAGTGCTGATAGCTAATATTCTTACTGATGCAGCTGATTTAGTATCTGAGTTAGCACAAGGTAAATACACTCCTGGTATACCTGGGCATTTTCTTTCTCAGAACCTATGCCTGATGTGTAGAAGCCGAATTATTTTCTAAAGTTACAAATCCTTGGAGGTTTAAATGTACGCTAACTCTTCTGGACCCTCTTGAGGGTGCGCACTTAAGAATTTAAAAATGCATAGGAGTTGTTGATTTTGAAAGGTAACTCGAGCTTTCTTTTGTAATTGGGCGAGTGTAGTTTTTGTTTTGTTTCCCTAATTATATTTTCCCCCTACCATAATGTATGAAAATTGGATTCAGTGAAGTCAACTTTGGTTCGTGGCAGATTTGAATTTCCTGCAGAGTTTATTTGGCGTGTTCCCATTTGCTTCTGACGATACAGAGGCACAGAATGCCATTTGGAGCACCATTGCAAGATTATTATTGTTCTTTGAGGAAAGTGAGATGAGCCCATCAATCTTACGCTCTCTTGTCTCAATTCTTGCCAGCAAATTTGATCTCATAGAGGATGAACTTCTTTTCCGCCCTTTGGATGGTGGAGAAAAGAAGAGTGTTGAGACCTCTAGCACGAAAATAAATGCTAGACGTATTGCTGTATCCTTTTGATGTATGGTACTCAGCAATTTCAGAATATTACTCCTGTTAACTTTCTTATATAGCAATTTTCTCCTCTTTGTTTTTCTTCACCTGCTTAAAAGATGAAAAGAATTTCGAATATTTTGACTCGATGGAAATCTGCGGATGATAGCGTAAAGATCACTCCTCGCATGGAAGACTGCTATGTCAGTGAAGAAGAAGTTGATAAATTGTTGAATTTACTGCAGTAAAGCCTCCAGGTACGAAAAACTGTATTTTTTTCTTTTCCCATCATAATTATTAATCCCATTGGCTCCGTTCTTGATACATTTACGTGCATACACATGTTTAGTTATCTTTGCTAGACTATGGTTAGCATTTCTGATACTGTGATGATGACCTCTTTTGTGAGAATGTTCTTTTCGCTTTCCAGTTCAACCATTTGATTTGAGTGGTTGCTTGTTAAATAGAACCAGTACAGTTGCCCATGCGAATGCACGGGAGCTGCAAAAAAAATCATTAAAAGAACATTTACAATTAACGATTAAACAAAATTGAAAATTTTCTTATATACAATGTCCTATGTCTTAGAAATGTTTTCATTATCACAAATTAATATTATCAATTCTCTCTTCATCTTCTTCAATATCATTTTTCTCCTTGGGCAAATTTTTCTTTGTCTTCATTCTTAGCATTCTTTGTTTTTTATAAGCTCGATTCATCGAACAATTTTCTCTTAGAATAGTATTTCAGCGGTGGCGATTCGTGGGGAATTGGAATTTTTTGGACTGATCACCTCGTTATTATTAATTTTTTTTTCTCGTAATCCACATAAGCTCCCTACAACCGTAAAATAATTAAGTAATTAACTTCATATACTTCAATCTTATAAATTTATAAGGTTAGTTAATTCTTAATTAAAGTATAAAAAAATATAATTCCTAAATTATAAAATTATATGCATTGAATTTAAAAAATTATAAGTACATGTAAGCAGTAGAATCTTTATAGAATTTTTTTGTTTCATTTTGTACAATAAGTTTGAACAATCCAAAACATATGATTATGATTAAATAAATTTATTAAATTAATATATATATATATATATATATATGTGTGTGTGTGTGTGTGGATACATATATATAGATTAATAATTACAATTACTAATGAAAATTTGTGAAATAAAAATTTAAGTTCAATCAAAGTCCACAACTCAAATACTAATGTCATCTTAAATAAATATAAACAAACAAAGTCCTAGGTTACTTAAAGTTAGATTAATAATCCAAATACCTAACTCAGTAACGCTCGTAAAATTGTAGAGAATTTTGGAAATCTGTTTTCGCCTTTGTCTTGTACCTTGTTGTATCAACACTCTATACAACGACACTTCTTTCATTCAAATGGCATCTAAAAAGCTCCACAGGGACGTGAATACGGTATCCCTGAAACTAACCAATAAAAAAATCAATTATAGGGGAAAAAAAGTTAAGAGAGTGAATGCCATGATTTTTTGTTTTTCTTTTCTTGTTTTCGCATGTGTTTTTTCTTAATAAAATTGTGATATATATTGACTCGGAATAGATGTATCTATTTATAACGATCAAATAATCCCACTACGAAATCAACATACTCACCACTTAATCCCTTATTAGTCATCGAACCAGAAACTGCGATCCAATTGGCAACTGAAATATGGTACGGTTGTTCAATTATTTAAACGTTAACACACGCAAATACTTATTAGCTGTCGAACCAGAAACTGCGATCCAATTGACGAAATATGGTACGATTGTTCAATTATTTATTAATTATTAATTATTAATCTATGAAATATGGTACGGTTGTTCAATTATTTATTATTTATTAATTATTAATTATTAATCTTTTATTTGATAATTTTTTATGTTACTGAGCAACAACACGCCATACTTATTAACTGATGAACCACGACAAAAACTCCGATAAGTGAGGCAACTAAAGTATGCGCCATACTTATTAACGGATGAACCACGACAGAAACTCCGATCAAGTGAGACAATCCAATGTTAACAATAATGCAAAATGAGACTCTTTTTCATCCGGCAATCCATAGAATCAAATTTAAATTCGAGAACAGGCCCCCACAAAATGAATCCATACAAAATAAAAATCCGTCCCAAGTCATCCTGCACATAATTTACTCGATTTAAGTTTTCTTTTTTTACATACACGTGCAAAAAGCTAAATGAGGTCTACTAACATGTAAAATACGATAAGCACGAACCAATAAGCCAACTCCATTTCTTTTGTTTGTTTGCTTTTTTTTTTTTTATTTTATTACTATTTTCCAAACGAGGTTTCGAGACGATTATTATCTAGGTTTATCCTCGAGGGGTTTCCTCGAGTTTCCTAGACCGGTTTCTCGGGCTCATTATCCCATTTCACGAAGTGGCTCGGGATAAGANTAATGGAGAGGCACAAGGATACATCATGAGTGTAATCACATAAACACATAATCGATCAAGATGCACCACAAATGCATAGCATAACACGTTTACAACGATAATCGAGCATAAGGTAAGCATATCTCAAGTCAATCAATCGAGAACAAGGGACAAAACAATTCCGTGAATTCACATGGGGGTTCCCACGTTAACAAATTATCCTTCAATTCAAGGGTACCATCCAAATCATCAAGTTCATAAAGCATGAAAATTAACAATGACGCCAACTAAAGTTCTTAACTCACCACTTAACCATTTTGGCTCTTGAGCTCACATCAAGCATCATGAAGGGGAATCGACACAAAAACACACAAGAACCAAAGCAAAACCGGTCCAAGACACTACGACATGAATATGAAAGAAAAACGCCTAAACATGCATAATCACAAAATCCTCCCCTACACTTCAAACAAAGCAATGTCCTCATTGCTTAACCAAAAAGTGCACGGAAAGAACAAATAATCACGCACGTTCATGCATAGGACAATAAAGTAAAAGAAAGAAAGGAAAAGAAATTAAAAGACATAGAAAGAAAAGAAAAAGAAGCAAAACACAAAGACACATAAAAAGAGAACAAAGAGAAAAAGAAAAATAAAGAAAAGAAAAGACGTACTCGACACGGTAATACCGTGTATCTATCGGTGCATCGTCCGGAGGGGAAGAAGAGCTTGGGCCCTCGGCCCGTGTGTCCGTATGAGAGGTGGAGGCTCCGGTCCGAGCCTCAATGCGTTGATCCATCTTAGCTTCCATCCCCGTGAGCCGGGCGTCAAAGGTGTGAATAATAGCGTCAACGCCATTGAAACGAGACTCAATACGTGCAAATCCGTTGTTTATTAAAGAAGTCATTTGGGCCATAAAGTCGTCCATCGGGTTTATGGACCAAATGACTTCTTTGATAAACAACGGATTTGCACGTATTGAGTCTCGTTTTAATGGCGTCGACACTATTATTCACGCCTTTGACGCCTAAAATGGATCAATGCATTGAGGCTCAGACCGGAGCCTCCACCTCTCATACGGACACACGAGCCAAGGGCCCAAGTTCTTCTTCCCCTACGGACGATGCACCATCACCGTGTCGAGTACGCATTTCCTTTTCCTTATTTTTCTTTTTCTCTTTGTTCTCTTTTTATGTGTATATGTGTTTTGCTTCTTTTTCTTTTCTTTCTATGTATTTTAGTTTATTTTCTTTCTTTTATTTTATTGTCCTATGCGTGATTATTTGTTCCTTCCATGTACTTTTTGGTTAAGCAATGAGAACATTGCTTTGTTTGAACTGTGGGGGAGGATTTTTCGTGATTATGCATGTTAGGCGTTTTCTTTCACACTCGTGTCATAGTGTTGTGGACCGGTTTTTGCTTTGATTCTTGTGTGCTTTTGTGTCAATTCCCCTTTCATGATGCTTGATGTGAGTTCAAGAGCCAAAGTGGTTATGTGGTGAGTTAAGAATTTTGATTGGTGTCATTATTAATTTTCATGCTTTATGAACTTGATGATTTGGATGGTACCCTAGAATTGAATGATAATTTGTTACCGTGGGAACCCACACGTGAATTCACGGAATGGTTTTGTCCCTTGGTATTCTCGATTGATTGACTTGAGATATGCTTACCTTATGCTCGATTATTGTTGGAAACGTGTTATGCTATTCCTTTGTGGTGCATCTTGATAGATATGTGTCTGTGATTATGTTCATGATGTATCATTATTTGGGATTTTCTATCTTATTGTTCTCCAGTGTTGTTGACTTCATGCAGATCAAATGCAGGTGGATCATCTTATTTGGCCTGAGCCGATTTTAGATATGCTGCTCAAGTTGATATTACCAGCTCACAAAATACGAAATATCTCGAGTCTGATGAAGCAAGGGTTAGCCATTTTAGTCAACCTGTGGCAAAAATCTTTTTTTGTGTTATGCGATGAGATTCGGCCTGGATTTTCATAAGCCAACAACTGAAGCATTTGAGGTGCTTGTAATCTGGAAATTCAAGACTTGGATGGTCAACTAAGTAGCTGTCACGTGTAGTGTATGCACCACTTGATTTAAAGATATCGGCCTGAAAAACTACTGGCGAGAGGTCAGTTTGGTTAGAACGGTCAGGAAAGAAATTGGAGAAATCTTAATTTCTACACAAGCTTGGAGATGAATGGCAACATTAGAAAATTTAATTTTAACTAAAGGGTAAAAACATTATGTTAGCATAAAGGCTATACTTATCAACTATGCCAAACATGTTAAATATGCCTTCTTTTATCAACAAGATATAACTTAACTTTCTTTTTTTTAATGAGAAATAATCAAGCTCAATCACTCAAAAACCAAATACACCCTTAAAGAGTACTTATTTCAGTAAGTCCTTCAACGAATCCTTCTTCGGGGTGGTTATAAGTTATAACATCTATATATATAATAATAAGAATTACCATTTTTTAAAAATAGAAAGTCAAATTTCAGTCAACATTAATTACCTACCATTCTTAGTAACTTTTTTTTTCCTAATAATCATATTAACAATATATTAAAAGAGTGATTAACATGCTTTGTTATATAGTTACATGATTTTCACTTAAAATTGAAATGGTAACAGGCTTTGTTCATTAAAAATTGACAACATGTTAACAAGATTTTTCAATTTATGAGGCTTTGTTCATAAATTTTTCAACATGTAACAGCATGTTAACTATTTTTCAAAGCTGTTAATATATTTCAAGTTTTAATAAGAATTACCATGTGAATATGACAACAATATTTATTTATTAATTCATTTCAATTTTTAATATTTCCCAAACTTCAAATAATCATATTAACAATACGTTTATTTGACAACATGTTTAATAATTAATGAATATTTATATATCATTTTATTAATATTTATGTGAATAAAATAATATTTTATTATAATTTTTATTAATGCACAGTGAATATGGTTTTCAGAATTGAACCATCATCGAAACGATCAGTTATTCTATTAAATCATTTGTAGTTTGTTCAGATTTTAATTTATAAACATTTTAATATCAATATATATACATTTTAATATATACATTTTAATATAAATCATTCTAGAGTACTTTTTGGAATAAATTTTAATAAAATGTGTTACTTAAATATCTAAACAATTTATAAATTCAAATGTTAAAACTAATTGATAAACAATTTATAAATCTCTATTTTATTTAAATATATAATTTTATTTAAAATAATTTTAAATGTAACAAAATTTATTTAGAAAATCGTAAAGATCCTACCAGTCCAACCGATTGATGTTGACAGATTCAATAGTAAATATTTTATTCAAGCGAACTACACTGTTTATAACCCGATTCTCGGTCCATCCGGTCGGACTGTGTCCAACCTGATTTAATTTAAAAACAATGGGTAAATCATAATTAATGATATTATATATTTAATTATAATATAATCGTAATATTATTTTCCCGTGCATCGCACGGGCCACGCACTAGTTCGTCTTTACAATGAATAGATTTTTACTTGAAATAGCATCACATCAAATATAGAAACTTTCATCCTTATATTTTTATATCTATTTTTTATTCTTACCAAATCATCAAGAGGGAAAATTCAGGTTGGATATTATATTAACAAAAGCTCTTGACAGCTCAGGGTGAGGCTGAACTAAAAGAGAACTTAAAAATTGAAACTGAAAAATTGAAACAGTACCGAACTAAAAGAAAACTGAAAAATTGAAACTGTATTCAAATCGTATTGCGCTGAGAACATTTTGGTTTTCTCTTGGTTTTTCGAATTGTAGGTTTGGCTCAATTTTTTTTTGTGTTCCCTTTGTTTTTATATAGGTTTGGGGTCATTTTGTGTGTAACTGCAGTGAACCAAAAAAAACAAAATTGAACCTAATGTTTGTGTTGAAACGACAATACATAAAAACAGCAATCTGAAACCACATTGCAAATTTTGTTTACTAAAATAACCCAAACAGCATAGTGTTACACCGGTTTTGCTATGGAGCCATTGGATGGCTCGACTTATGGAGCCATCCATAGTTATCCACAAATGATATATTGACACATGTCCTGTAATAAATATATATTGGACACGTGTCAATACACAAAATTATGGATGACTACATAAAAAAACCATTCAATGGCTTCATAGCATTTCTGAGTGTAATATGTTTTTCTGTTTTATGTTTGTGTTGTCCTGGTGTTTCCCTTGTTGCAGTTTACAGTCGACATTGTGATACCCTTGTTGCAGTTTACAGTCGACATTGTGATATATATGCGCGCACAAAGAGCTGAAGAAAAACCTTTTTATTTTTTATTTTTAATCTGCTTAACTGATGAAAGCACAACATTTATTTTTAAACAAATCGAAAAATAAAATTACAGTCAGAAGCTCTCGCCGGAGCATCACATCACATCACATCACAATCTCCCTCCACTCATCTATCCGTCAGCCAAAATTTGTGAAAAGACATTATTACACAAACATTAG